GGGGGGGGGGGGGGGGGTGTTCACCGTTATTAATAAATACATAATACATGTAATTTTGTCCTCTTAATGTTTTCTGATCTTTCTTACGTGAAAATCCTGATTCTATTATTAATCATGACTTGAACGGTGTTGTATTGCCTTGAACTTCGACAACCCAGATCACATGTTTTTTCTATGTGAAAATCTTGGCTCCGCTACTAATTACAACTTGATTGGTGTTGAACTGCCTCGAAAATCAACAATCCAATTCACATTTACACCCTTGCGCAAAACTAGATTGACGTAGTACTACGCTCATTTTATCATTGAAATCATATATCATTTGTCTAATTGAACAATGTGTATACAATGATTTTAAATAAGCCTTAGAAGAAAAGAGAAAATGAGATGAAAATTAGGGTAAATCATTAGTTTAATAATAATGTTTAGGTTAAGGCCTGCAGACAATACCTACACCCAACACTCAAACAACACTCCAACGGTCCCTTTACTTCCACACAAAGTTTACTTCATTAATGTCTAGTAATACATCATTTGATTGCTTATAACTATATTAATTTATACATGAAATTTTGTGATAAAAAATAGTGAAATTGTTTTTTAATGAATTAATGAGAGAGAGTTTTTCTTTATATCATTAATTGATTTTAGAAACACCGTGGTAACATAAGAAGATGTTCGTTCATGTAAAATTTAATTGTAGCTTGATATCTTTAGATTTTCCTCTTTCGCCCAAATTTCGCTGCAGCGAGGTATTAGCTGCGCTCAATCAATCCTAATTTTGTTCGAGTATAACGTACTTAATTAAAAACTTAACCCTTATTTCACAATCATGTTAACCCTCATTTAACAATCATATTATTCTTCTCGTTTTCATCGTCTTTATCGTCAATGTACCTTAAATTCTAAAATTTCATCATATCACAAAACAACAAAAACGAAATCATAATAAATAGCAACACATTCTGATAAAAACATGTAAATATCACACTTACTATGGACCTAAGTGTTGTGTTTTGCAAAGTCTTGAGCCCGGTTAACAAATCAAGCCACAATTAAAATTCAAATTAATCTTCACGAACTTCAATTTTCCCATCTTTTGGTTGACTAAGTCAAACAGAAAATAAATAAATAAACTAAAGACAATAAAAGCGTAACGCGTTCATCCATTTTATTTGATTTTTATTTAATTTTGCCAACTAAATTGAAATGTTTCTAGACAAGGTTGAATATCTATGGACTATAATATTTTTTTCTTCCTAGATTATGAAGCTATTTGACTATTTCCAAATGAAGCCGATTGAACTAATATTTGAACACGTGTTAGTTCACAAATATATTTTAGAGTCGCATAGTTCTAGTTTTTTCAAAATGTTTTAGATCCATTTTCGTCTCGATGAAGTTGAATTTGAATTCACGCGTCGAACTTTGAATGTCTTGATGCGCTATCATATGCTGAAACGAACCACCATTTTGAGGAGCATGTTAAAAAACAATTGACGTATAACATGAAAGTTTTTGTTTTAAAAAAGGCTATGCAAATTTTGGGTAATAAGAAGTGAAAATAAAATAATTTTTATGGATCCTATTGCAAATGTCGTCACCTACCCAACAATAGAAACGAATCCTTAAAAACTTGGAAAGTGAAAAATTACTACCTCCTTTACGTGTTATCCAAGCAAAGTACTAAAGTGTTAAAAAAAAAAAAATTCCAAAAAAAATAAATAAAAATTAATTACAATTTTTTCCCCCTCTATTCTTTTCATGCTAAGTACCAGACGAGACAAGTTGTACATGTACACCACCCACCAAAAGTCGACAATTCGAGGTCTGAATCCACCGATTTCATCGCTGACCATAAATCTTAGCTGCACCTTACCGCACACGATCAGACCCTTCATCTCCCGCGTATATGCCTTTTCTTTTCTCTTTTACAAATGCGTTCCCAATTTGTTAAACCGTTCACGCCTATATATCTCTGAATCGTTCCATTCATAACATAATTTTCAGGAAAAATCCTTCAACTCTGTCAGTAATCAGATAATGCAGACGGGTCAAGCGGTCTCAATCTCCCCGAGCTTCAACAGCTACTCCAATAGTAAACTTGTAGAAATCGCAGCTCGTGTTGTTGAAGAATTCAATGAAGAAGAGTCCAATTTTGATGAATTATACGAAGAATTTTATGACGAAAGTGAAGAAAAATATGAAGCGAGGTCGAAAGATGTGGGGAAAAATGATATTGATTGTGATGGTGATGAAGATGAAGAATTTGAGTTTGCATTTGTGACAAGTGATTCTGAATTTTCTTCTTCAATTTCCGCTGATGAAATCTTCTACAACGGTCAGATCCGACCGGTTTTCCCAATTTTAAATAAAGATTTATTGATCGGAAATTCGGATTCTTCCTCTAAGGCAGCTCCGATTAGGCTTCCATTGAGGAAGCTTTTCATGGAGAGTGAAACGACATCGTCTTCTTCATCGGGGCTGGCTGATATCGCCGGAGTTCAGGCGGAAACGTGTTGCACGTGGAGGCCGAAGTCATCGTCGCCTCCACCGAAGGATGCGGCGGAGGGAAGGTGTAAGAAGAGGTGCACTTTTAAAGACCTTTTGAACATAAGTCTCAGTGATGGCGATCAGGGTACTTCGGCCATTTCAACTCCGAGTAAACAAAAGGAAAATGAGATTATTAAAAAGTGTGTAGAAACCCCGGTGGTTGGTGGCAGAAAAGTGAAAGCGGCGGCAGCACAGTATGGCAGAAACGGCTGTGACCGGCGGAGGTTGTACCTGCCCTATAGGAAAGATCTGGTGGGGTTCTTCGCGAATATAAATCGGTTGAGTAGAAATGCATAGCCCTCCTTCTACGATGCAAGACACGCTTTACATTCTATTTTAAGTGTCACGTTTCGAGTTATGAAGCACCGCTCTTCGATGTATGGCTCGATATTTGCTCATTCCATTCATGAAAAACACTTCTATACTATATTGTGGTCTAGAATCCTTACCTTAAATTTGACTTAACAATATAAGATTTGTCTTTGCGAAAAATAAGGTTATAGGAGAAAGACACGAGAGAATTAATGAAAAAATAAGGGTTTGGTTTATCCCTCGAACTTTTGACACACTATCAAATTGCATAATGCTTATGAACACGAGTATCTTTTGATTTATGTAAAACATGTCTCGTATACTTAAAACATTTTACACTCAATTCATCTTCAAGGCCCGTCACTATCATTATGATTAAGGGTCCTTTTAACGGGACTTTTAAAAATTCAAAATCTAATTCCGAGATTAAAAAATTATTTTTTTAGCACGTTCGAATAGTTTTTTAAAAGCGTTCTAATTAGAAAAGCTTCTACAGAAAGTTGACCAAAGATAGTTTCCTTACTCCGAGGAAACTGTTATACAAGATGTATTACCTTGCAAAACAGGTCTGAAATATATATATATTAACATTCTCACTTCACGAACACTCTAATTTCTCGTTTGTTTTTTTTGTTTTTTTTTTTTTTAACATGGCACGAAACTTCTTGCTTAATCAGTGAAACGTGATTGGCATCACTTAGAAACCTTAAAAAGGCATTCACTAGAAATCTTTGACAAGACAAATAAAAGGTAGAATTAAATAAAGTTTCTTGTCACAAAATTAGCTCTCACATTAAAATAATTACCAACTTAAAACTACTCTACACCTGTTTTGGATTAGATTACACGTTAATCCTTATTTTCTAAATGACTTTGGTCGCGTTCATACGGAATGTAATATTTCATGTCAAAATTTCGATCCATATATAGTTCATCATATGAAAAAAAATAAAAATAAAAATGTTGTGTACATTCCACTAAAATTTTAACACCACAAAATTAAAATTATAGTGAAGTGTCAGAATTTAAATGGGACAGTCGAGCCGAGACAACAAGTGATTTAATCAAATTATAGTGATAAAATGAAGAATTTGAGTTTGCATTTGTGACAAGTGATTCTGAATTTTCTTCTTCAATTTCTGCTGATGAAATCTTCTACAAGTGAGATCCGACCGGTTTTCTCAATTTTAAATAAAGGTTTATTCATCGAAAANGAATGCATTTAATTATATAGAGTGAATTTGACTCTCCAACCTACTCTCTAAATTAAAATGTTAAATTCAAGAGTCTCTTGAAGCATGATTTTAAATGTTGACTCTTTAAAATAGAGAGCATTTCATGTTTAAAGAGTTTCTTGGAGATGCTCTAAGGCAGCTCCGATTAGGCATCCATTGAGGAAGCTTTTCATGGAGAGTGAAACGACAGCCTTTTCTTCATCGGAGTTGGATGAGCTTGTCGGAGTTCAGGCGAAAACGGATTGCACGTAGAGGTTGAAGTTATCGTCGCCTCCATCAAAGGATGCGGCAGAGGGAAGGTGTAAGAAGAGCAACTCCACCGGCTCAATGAAGAGGCGCACTTTTAAAGACCTTTTGAACAGGAGTCAAGGTGATGGCGATAAGGGTGCTCCGGTCATTTCAACTCCAAGCAAACAAAAGGAAAATGAGATAATTAAAAAAGGTGTAGAAACAACGGTGGCTGGTGGCGGAAAAGTGAAAGCGGCACGGCGGCAAAATACGGCAGAATTGGCGGTGATCGTTGGAGGTCGTACCTGCCCTATAGGAAAGATCTGGTGTGGTTCTTTGCGAATGTAAATTGATTGAGTAAAAATGCTTACCCATCCTTCGACTTTGTAAGACATGCTTTACATTCTATTTAAGTGTCACGTTTGAAGTTACTAAACACTATCCTTCTACGTAAGGCTTGATATTTGTTCATTCCATTCATGGAAAACACTTATACACTAAATTATGGTCTAGAATCCAAAATCATTATCGTAAAATCGACTTAACAATATAAGATTTGTCTTTCCGAACAATAAGGTTAAAAGAGAGAGACACGAGAGGATTAATGAAAAAAATAAGGTTTTTGTTTGTCCCTCCAACTTATGACACACTATCAGATTGCACAATGCTTATGAACACTAGTATATTTTGGTTTATGCAAAATATGTCTCCAATACTTCAAACATTTTACCCTCATTTCATCTTNTCCCAAAAAAATATTTGTTATTTTTCTTTATCTTTTATTTTAACTAGTTTTTTTTTAAAATTATTTTATTGTTTTCCTACATTGAAAATTGAAATACTTTGAATACATTTAATTATAGAGAGTGAGTTTGACTCTCCAACCTACTCTCTAAATTAAAATGTTAAATTCAAGAGTCTCTTGAAGCATGATTTTAAATGTTGACTCTTTAAAATAGAGAGCATCTCATGTTTAAAGAGTTTCTTGAAAATACTCTAAAGCAACTTCGATTAGGCATCCATTGAGGAAGCTTTTCATGGAGAGTGAAACGACAGCATTTTCTTCATCGGAGTTGGATGAGCTCGTCGGAGTTCAGGCAAAAACGTATTGCACGTAGAGGTTGAAGTTATCGTTGCCTCCATCAAAGGATGCGACAGAGGGAAAGTGTAAGAAGAGCAACTCCACCGCTCAATGAAGAGGCGCACTTTTAAAGACCTTTTGAACAGGAGTCACAGTGATGGCGATAAGGGTGCTCCGGTCATTTCAACTCCGAGCAAACAAAAGGAAAATGAGATAATTAAAAAAGGTGTAGAAACAACGGTGGCTGGTGGCGGAAAAGTGAAAGCGGCACGGCGGCAAAATACGGCAGAATTGGCGGTGATCGTCGGAGGTCGTACCTGCCCTACATGAAAGATCTGGTGTGGGTTCTTTGCGAATGTAAATCGATTGAGTAAAAATGCTTACCCATCCTTCGACTTTGTAAGACATGCTTTACATTCTATTTAAGTGTCACGTTTGAAGTTACTAAACACTATCCTTCTTCGTAAGGCTCGATATTTGCTCATTCCCTTCATGGAAAACACTTCTACACTAAATTATGGTCTAGAATCCAAAATCATTATCGTAAAATCGACTTAACAATATAAGATTTGTCTTTTCGAACAATAAGATTAAAAGAGAAAGACACGAGAGGATTAATGAAAAAAATAAGGTTTTTTTTTGTCCCTCCAACTTTTGACACACTATCAGATTGCACAGTGCTTATGAACACAAGTATATTTTGGTTTATGCAAAATATGTCTCCAATACTTTAAACATTTTACCCTCATTTCATCTTNGAAACACTATCAGATTGCACAGTGCTTATGAACACAAGTATATTTTGGTTTATGCAAAATATGTATCCAATACTTTAAACATTTTTCCCTCATTTCATCTTCAAGACCTGTCACTATCATTATGATTAAGGGTCGTTAGACGAGACTTTTAAAATGTCAAAATCTAATTATGAGATTAAAAAATTATTTTTGAACATGTTTAAATAATTCTTTTGAAAGTATTCTAATTAGAAAAGCTTCTATAGAAGGTTGACCAAATGTAGCTTCTTTGGTCCTCAGAAAACTATCACGTAAGAAGTATCACATTGCAAAACGAGTCCAAAATATCCATCTTAACATTCTCATTTCACGAATACTCTAATTTTTTGTTTTAAGGTTTGTCCTTTTTTTAGCGAAAAAACGCAGCACGAAACTTGTTGCTTAATCAGTGAAACCTAATTGGCTTCACGTTAGAAACCTTAAAAAGGCATTAGATATATTTTACAAGACAAATAAAAGGTAGAATTCAATAAAGTTTCTTGTCACAAATTTTGCTCTCACATTAAAATAATTAGCAACTTAAAACTACTCTACACCTGTTTTAGATTAGATTACACGTTAATCCGTTGTGGTTTTTGAACAAGTACAATAAAATATTTTCTAATGACTTTGGTCGCGTTCATATTGTGCATGCGCACGTACGTAATATTTCATGTCAAGATTTCGGTCGTTCATCATATAAAAAAAAAAAGGGTTATTCCCCTAAAATTTTAACACAACAAAACTAAAATTATAGTCGAGCGTAAGAATTTAATCAATGGGATAGTCGAGCCGAGACAACAAATTCGGACTCGATGAGCATAGCCCAACAAACCATATAGACAGTAAAAAGCTTTAACATATGGATCGTGAGTGTATACTGAAGCAACAGTAAGACCTTATTGACGGGTTGATTCAACAAACATGTTCTCTTTTACATTTACTATTATCAACGTCCAGCAAAATTTATACCTTCGGATCAACCTGAACACCTCTTTGGTTACATCTCAAGAATCGAGTTTTCCTCTTCCTTTTGTATTTCACTTGAATTAAGCCCGGAACTTCCTCCATTAACGTTCACAACACCGCCAAATTCAGACGGCTTTGTGATCCTCTGCAACTCATCAGTTACGTCTGAAGAGCGAACCAGGGATTGCTCATCAGTCAATTGATCATCTTTCTGTAATGACTTCTTTGGCTGTCTAATAGCTACAGCTGCTTCAGGCATGGCAACAGGAGGTGGCTGGGGAGGTACCCAAATCCGCTGAACTGGTCGAACATTACTTGTTACATTGGAAGATCCAAATTTCTGTTCGTCCCCAGCTTCAATTTCTGTGATTCTGACATTTTTCCGTTGCCACCAAGGAACTGCATCATCACCATTTGACTGCTTATCTTTGAACTCGTAACTTACGCTGTTGCTGCTTTCTTGAGACTGAATAACATTGGTCGAGGTGCTCTGAGCTTGATTAACCTCCCAAGGCTGTTCAACAGATATCAGTATTAGTGAAGGGCCCAACAGAATGTATCTGTCGAAAAGCCTGTGTCAAATGCTATCAAAATTTATATAAAATCCATATTTTAGTAGCCAGGTCTTTCTCAGTTACTGGAGACGAAAAATGATTGTTTTTTTTTTTTTTTTTTTGAGAATTTCATAGATCCATTAAAAGCCTGAAAATATCCCATTTCTCGGAAGAAAAAATTGGGGCGATGAAACAAATGAAAATCTTGCAAGGCAAACCTTAGGCCTTGGAGCTAAACGAGGAAGTGGCACCGGTTGGTTGGGATTTGGTGGTGCGTCATTGATCTCCTGAGAATAATGATTATACAGATGGTTAAATATTAAAATTAGAGAAGTCAGAAAACTGATTATACAAAATTCAAGATTAAAGAGAGTGGACTAACTCTAATGTTGGATGGTTTCTCCCCTCTTTGAATCATGGCCATGATCTGCAAATAGTTACGAGTATGTTTGATTATAAAATCTTATGTTGCAAGTGTGAACGAAATAACAAGAGACTTAATCCTATGATGTTAAAGCTAGCCAAAACTGTTTCACGGAAGCATCTGCCACCATCAAAAAGCCATATGCCACTTTTCATGCAGAGAAAGAGCAGAGAGAGAATGGGATCACAAATTGTAGAAATTTATGGACCTAACTCATCTCACAAAACCGGTTCTACAAGAGAGGTTTGCCACATTGTTTATAAACAGGCCCAAGACATTATCCACGGGCGATGTAAGATTTATTTCCAACACCCTCCCTCACGTGCAGGACAGTAATTTTTCTGGTCCTTGTCACGGGGTAAGTAGTGTGGGCCCACATCAATCCTGTGGTAGGCTCTGACACCATGTAGAAATTCATGGGCCTAACTCATCTCATAAA